AAGACCCTACCCCAGCACCCACATGTCCATCACATGGTCCAATCAGTCACTGCCCCAAAAGAAGATTCCTCCCAGTGATGCTACTCTAGGTGCCAGGGCCGGATGACCGTGACTCTCTGAGAAAGAATGTTATTTTGACTACAAAGTTCCCATGCTCCTTACAATCCCCCCTCTCACGGTAGAATAGAATATGTGGCAGACTTGAGGGCCATTGTAAAAGATGGCTTCCAAGCCTGACACTGGGTTTCCTGTACATTTCCCCAAAGAAAGACCTAATAGCTGCAAGCCATGTGGAAGCAACAGGATTTATCCCAAAAGCCAAATTTCTCCATTCAGTCTCTCCTCCTTTAGACAGAAAGGGTCATATTGCAGCCCAGGCTTCCTAAAGAGGCAATTTGGCTCAGGTAGGGAAACCATTTTAAGGATCCCATTTTACAATGGGATATACTGCCTGAGGCCCAGAGCTTAATGCATCCCTCAAAGATTTCAAAATACTGTGATTTTTGATGTAACAAAAAGATAAACTCATAAAATGCATATCTAATGGATAAACATGATATATTTCATTTAAATGTAAATGACAATAAATTCAATTGAATATTTATTTTGACTCATCCTTTATTTCTTTGGAGGGGGGAGGGAGATAACCCATAATAAAGTGTGGCTCTCAGCTTCCTCAAAAGTTATTTTATTACTGCTCTACAAGAATTATTTTGTTGCCTCACTTGTTTCTCAAAATGGGTGAGGCCGCAGCCACCTAGAGTTTCCCCCAGGTGAGATGAACATACAAGTTGAATAAATAAATAAAAATAATTTTCGGGCACTCTCTAATGAAAACATTGTAGAGTATAAGCTGCATCTTTCTTAACTAGTGGGACAAAGTTATGGGAAGTATCTCAATCATCAGCTTGCTAATCATCAGCTCACCTGGCCAACATTTTCCCCCTTGGTTTGAGCTACATTCAGAGAACTAGCTATGCACAGCAATATCATTCTCCACATGGGGAGACCCCTGCTGATACGGCCTTATGTTGATTCATTGTGGGTGCATAAAGATGTGGAATTTTGTTTTCAGCATGTCACTGGCAGCCTGAGTTGAAGTGAGAATCAGAGTTTATCATAGAGGAATATGATCCCGTTTTCAAATACAGAGAAATACTTGGTGATACTGCACCAAGTGTCCTGCCATTGAAGTGAAGATGGATCCTACAAAAACGTCTTGGTTGATGGCCTTGAAGGACAGGTGAAAGAGTCACTATCAAGGCAATGGTCAGTTAAGCAAGGCTTGAGCCTGTGCCAAGAAATTAACTTGAGAAAATTGTCCCAGGCAAGTTCACAGGAAGGGGGTGCAAGGAGAGAAGAATGTTCAGACTTGCAAGATTCTGTTATCATAGCTGTTACGATAAAAGTAATCCTGACCTATAGGGAATTGGGTTCTTAATCTAGTCTATCTTGTAGGGCTGACACATATCACCTCTACGATTCTGTGTAAGCTGACTTTTTATAGCCTAGAGTTATATACTAAACAGACAATTATGGT